CTCTTCAAAGTCACCTGTTGACTACACTTAGGGCTGGGGCCTGGCCCTTCTAAACGCAGAAGCCCGAAGTCTTTAGGCCAGGCAGCTCGAGTGTTGAGTCAGGACACACATTTTACAGGAAGTGCCTTAGGCCCAGTTAGAGGCTTGAAGCACGCCTCTCCTTCTCTTTCACCTTGAACCAGAGTGAAGTGCTTCACTCAGGGCCACCAGAGACCAGAGACACCGAACAAATCAGGACGGAAGCCAGTCAGTTTTGGGTCGTGTTCCCTCTTAAAGCCATCCTAAGGACTGCGCTGACATTAACCCACACCTGGGAGAGGCTAAGGGTCTACTTACGGGCACAGCTGCCACGTTTCTCTGCACAGGAATGCCGGAAGCACTGGAGCTGTGGCCTCATGGCACAGAGAGGCCCCACGTGCCTGAGGATGGCTAAGGGCTTGTGGGGGCCTCTCCCCAGCCTCGTGGCTCTGAGCATAGTGTGTCAGTTCCCCACTGTCCACTCTTGTTTGATCAGGGCCAATGTGGAGTGGGGTGGAGTGGGGTACACCTCTGGTTTTTTTTTTTTTTTAGGAACTCATCAAAACCTCTGAACCTAGTGGTTAAATTTCAACTCTTGCCTGTCCCAGGTCAGGAGTGGATGACTTGGGACCAGTGGCCTTGGCTGGGAACAGGCCACTCAGGTCATTGATAAACAGCTGGGCAAGCCTGCCAGAGAGTTAAACTTGACATGGATTCCCCAAGAGCACCAGGAAGGATGTGAGGGATGGGCGAGGGTGAAGTCCCCGTTCCCTGTGGTGTTGACCCTGTTCTGGGGACATGTAGCTCAGACACAGAACTGTCACATGGGGGAAGAAGAGGGCAGGTTCAAGAGCTTAAGGAGGGTGGAGCCACAGTGGCTGAGTGGGGGCTGCGGTTGGGTGATCTGATTGTGGAGGCGAGGTGGCTGGAGATGCCCTAGACCCACAGCATGGACCCCACCTGATCCACATACAGTTCCTGAAGTAGGATGCTGTGTAGCGGGTGAGACCATGGACTCTGCCCAGAGGTTTGCCACCAACACCAACCGTGTCCCTTTCATGCATGAAGGGTCCACATAGGGACACAGTGCATTTGGTGGCCCCGGCCATGCTGCTTGGAGCAGCCTTTCTTAAAGGAAAATATGGAAGAAATGTCATTGTTACTATTGTTTTAGGCTTTGAGTCTGGGAGAGTATGGGGAAGTCTCACATCACAGACTTCACGTCTTAGATCTACAAAACCTGGATGATTGGGATGAAGTGTGAGTGGGCTGTGGGCTCAGGAATTGGAGAGAGGAGAGAGAGGAGGAAGATAAAGGGACACACAGAGAGACAGAGAGAGAGAGAGACAGAGAGAGAGAGACAGAGAGAGAGAGAGAGGGAACAGAATTGTGCTTTTTATTTTGTATTGTTTTTAATTTTTGCCTTTATTAATTTTATTTACATTCAGTCATATAATCAACACGTTCATTTTCAAAATGGAATAAAACTTTAAATTAATCTTATTTATTTCATGCATATGTTTACCCAGACACAAGTGGAGGTCAGAGGACAATTTGTGGAAGTCAGTTCTCTCCTTCCACCATGCAGATCCTGGGGGCATTAGGCTTGGCGTCAATCACCTTTACTAGGTGAGCCATCCTGCTGACACAAATAAATTCCTTTTATTTTAAGCTGAATTCTACACAGTGGCATTTCTGTCTCTTTTCTGTAGATGTGGGGAACTGCTTGGAGTAGTGGCCTGGGTCAGGAGTGCCTCCTAGCTGGCAAGAGGCTGGGCCAGGATGCCAAGGATTTTGAGTCCATCCCACATCAATACTGAGGAGACTGAACTGAAAAGAAGGTGCAGCTAAGAGTGCGGCCAAACAGAAGGTCTTCAGGCACATGTGGCCACTAGGCTGCTGTTGAAGGTCTGGGACACACGGGAGGAATGCAGCGGCTGCTTGGAGCACACAGAAGGGCCTGTCACCCAGCCTCTCAGCTGGCTACAGCCTGGGTTCCAGAACAAAACTTTGTCTCAAAAAAGGAGCTACCTGTTTGACGACCTGAGTTTGATCGCTGGGACCCAGATGGCAGAAGGAGAGAACTGACTCCCAACTTGTCCTCTCTCATTTCCACGAGGTGCCATGGTACTCGGACAAGCCCCTCAACATACACATAGAATAAACAAACAATGTAAAATCCAGGACATCGAAAGAAAAGAGGATTGGGGAAACGACACAGTTGATAAAGAGCACACCCTGCAATCATGAGGAGCTAAACATGAGTGAGCCCCAGAACCCAGGTATAACAGCCAGGCATGGTGGGTGGGTTTGTCATTCCAGAGCTGGGGAGGCAGAGACAAGTGGACCACTGGGGCTCACTAGGCAGTCAGGCAAGCCTACCCTGCAAGCTCCATTGATATACCCGGTCTTAAAGAAACAAGATGGGTGATTGCCGAGGGGCATGGATATCACAAATACTCATGAACACTCATGCGTGTATACACACACACACTTCACACACTCAAGACTCTGGTTCCGCAATCTTGCTCTAATTAGCTTAATCTCTGATTGTGACCTAATTTTATGGCAGGTGGCTCCTTATTCACCCTAATCACTGCTGGCTAGTTGTTACCACTCTGCCCGCTCGTCACCGCCCACTTATCACTGTGTGCATTTGAAGTCTTGGGATGGCAAAGAATGTAAAGCTAAAGGCATGGATGAAAGGGAGGAAATGAGGGTGCCCGGGTGAACATACTGTGAATGATGTCACTGTTACTTTATGTTTTCCACGCAGTCAGGAGTTCATGCTCAGAGTTCTCACAGTTAAAGGGTTAAACTGGCTGGGGTAGGCTGGGAGTAGGCAGTTCCTCCAGGAGTCTCTGCCCAGCTCTTCTTGGTTCCTCGGGGCTAAATCCCTCCCATCGCTCTACTGTTTCCTCTGAGTCTGGGTCAGCTGGAATTTCAGATCTTTATGTTGGAGACCACTTTGCAAAATGATTGGGATACCACGTGTAAAGAGACTTTTGTATAGGTCATGGGGATACACTGTGTCTGGAGGTCGGATAGTTGGGTGGGAGAAAAGGAAAGGACCCTACAGGCTAAGGGCTTTATTGGAGTCCAGGGTGTGAGCCTTGCAGCTTTCCTGTGGCTCCTTCACCTTTTGGCTAAGACTGGGTGCAAACAAATTTCATGAGGCAGTTTGAGAAAACAGGTTGTTGCAGGAGGCTACATATGACTGTGAGGTGTCTATGGGACATATCTGCCCTGTGTGCTAGCTAGGGTGGCCTTCATCAAGTAGGTTGCGTCCTGCAGTCCCAGGGGCCCGAGGTCACCAGAAGGAAGTCTTACAAGAAAGAGACTCACAGCACAGAGATGCAGTCCGTGGTGATGGCGCCTGCTCCCAGACTTTTCTACTCATTCCTCAACCCCACACCCCACCCCCACCCCCGCGGCAAGATGTGGCTGTCCTGGAATTTGCTATGTAGTCTAGGCTGCCAACTTCTTTTCTACATGGATAAGGGGCAACTTAAAATGGTAAGACGCCCAAAGCCTGCCCTCCTGGCTCCAGCCGCCACCACCAGCAATTTCTCAGCCTCTTTGGACTTCATTCTCTTCTCTGTAACTGGCAAGTCTTGTTTTAACAGCAAAGTTCCTGGTCGAGGTCTTCAAGACATTGTGAGGCAAAGTAGCCCAGGACCAGCACCCGGACAGGGCGCAGTGGTCTAGAAGGGTGTTAACTCAGTTGGGTCGCCCAACTGGTGGCTGCACTGAGTCACTGAGTCATGACTTTCACCCACCAAGGGAAGGGGGCAGGAGACTTAAGGTCAAGTTTTTCTTTCCAAGTGAAAATAGCTCCCGGATCCTTGTTTGGAGGGTTGCTCACTGCGAACATGCGGAAGGAGCGAGCCCGGAGAGGAACGTGAATGAGAAACCAAGTGCAGAGACAGCCAGTAATGGCATTTCTGGGAGCAAGTGCACATCAATGCCGCAGAAGCTCCTATTAAAGGATACATAAGCATGTCACATATAATTTCTATCACCGCGACAATGTCCTGCTTGCCCACACCGGAGTAGGATCATTTTTGCGACAACGTCACTAAACGAGCCCGGAACGTCTGAGACCGATCCTCAGCGCGAGTAGGTAGGACCGGTTTTGAGACGCACAGTCTATCTGTGCAGCTGTCACTACAAGTCCCAGCAGCCCTCAGGGCAGGGAAGGGACTCGGCTGCCAGAATCCGGATAAACTACAAATCCCAGCAGGCAAATCATAACTGCGGAGACTACCTGTCCCAAAATACATCGCGCCACACAAGCCTATCCTGGGATTTGTAGTCATCGGACAGCATTAGCATCTATTCACTCCCCCTCAGAAAGGATGTACATTTCTCAGATTCCTCACGGGAGAATTTACCGCTTTAGCAAAAATCACGGGCGCGATAAGGGAATTAAGGGCCTTGGGAGTCAACCCTCGGCCCACGGGAGGACAACTGCGCATGTTCACCGGAGTCCGTCGGTGAAAGCGCGCGCTAGAGGCGCCCAGAGCAGGCTCCGCCCCTTGTCTGCCTGGCTCCTCCCTCGAGCCCCGAGCCTAGGGAGCCTGCGCTGAGGGCGGGGCGCAGGGCGCGGGGAGGTGCTCGCCGCGCCTGCGCAGAGCGGCTGCTTCTCTCGCGAGGACGGACGCCATTATCGCATCTCCCCGACAAACACCACGAGAATTCCGCAGCCCACACGGTAATTGCAGCTCCCGCAGCCGGTCGCGCCTCCACTCCCCCTTCCCGCGGGGCGAGAGCGAGAGCGAGATCTCCGTCCGCCCCCGCCCCGCCCCGCCGCCAACCGTCGCCAACGGCCGCGGGCCGCACGCCTGGCCGAGTGGGGGCCAGCGGGCCGCGGAATGTCCGTGCGCCGCCTCTGCGCCTCCACCCGCCCGGGCTTCGGGCTGGGCGTGCGGGGCGCCGGGAGCGTTCGGCTCCAGAGCCTCGGCACCGCCCAGACCCGCGCCCGGCGGCCCTGTCGCGGCCTCGGCGCGCGGAGGCGCTCTCCCGCGCTCGGCCACCCCAGTCGGTCCGTGCAGAGCCGCGTGCGGTGCTCCCGGGTCCTCCGCACCGCCCTGCCGCCTCCAGCGGCCGCATCTCCCGGTAGCTCTTGGCTCCCTGCCCCGGGAGGGTGGCTTGGCCCTCGTTGGCTCTTCCGCCTCTGTTCTGCACTCTGTTTACATCGGGGCTGATACCGGAGCTCTCTTCCCCACCTAGCGTCACGTCCCTGTCCCGCACAGCCTTTTTCCTGTTGTTCGTAGTGGCCTTTGTGTTTCTGCTCCCGGTGACATTGTAACCTCTCGAGGATAGTGTTAAATCTTCGGCCTTCCTCCACCTCCGCTTTGTCCTTTTCTAATCTGGGTCAGTGAATCTTAAGGCCCACTCAGGTAGGTCCTGATGTCTTCCCTGCACGCCTGGTTAGCTCAGGACACAGTGTTTCAGTCCTGCCTTTCTTCAGTCCTCAGGGACTCTGCCAAGTTCTTCCTTTCTGGTAACTCTTTCCTCCCTGGACGATTTTAAGGTCTTGGCATTTGGACATCCTTACAGTTCACAGGTGTGCTCAGTAGGTGTGTCCTTGAGGCTGGGAAATTCTCTTGAATCATTAGAGAATTTAATAGAGAATTTATTCCCACGGTTTTATTCTTTTAGGGGTTCCTGTCATGTGTGACACACATTTTGGGTAGACTACTTGAATCTTTGCATCTTTCTTTCTAATCCCTTTTCTCATTCCAGGAGAGAGCTTCAATTAGTCTTTCAGCCTCAATCTTTCTGTTTTGCTTGGTGCAGTGGTGCAGAAGACAGAGGCAGGTGGATCTTTGTGAGTTTGAGGCCCCCCTGGGTTACATAGTGAGATCCTATCTTGGGGAAAAAAAAAATCCATGCTATGCACCCACGTCATCCTCAAGAACCTGTGTCTGCCGGGCAGTGGCGGCCCAGGCCTTTAATCCCAGCACTCTGGAGGCAGAGGCAGGCGGATCTCTGTGAGTTCAAGGACAGCCAGAACTATCCAGAGAAACCCTGTCTCGAAAAACCATTAAAAAAAAAAAAAGACCCACAATCAGAATTGTAGTCTATGAGTGTATTTGTCCTTTCGTCCAGTAGTTTGTTTCATGAGTACATTTTCCCTTAGGCTGAGTAGACTATACTAGGGCTCACTTCAGTTCTCTTACCTGAGTTCTTGTTTAGTATCACTCTTTGGTGATAAATAGCAGCTTTTTGCTTTGCAAGGCAGGTCTTCTTACAATATTGGTAATTATTGCCTAAGCTTTAGGCCCTAAGGCAAGAGGAACTGGCTGAAGTACATAGGCCTGTAGAGAGGGTTTTAAAAATGGTTTTCCCCTCTAGTGACTTGATGAGCTTGTTGCCTTAAGACCTGGAGGACCTTTTATCTCAGCTGTTTCCCTTTGCTGGAAAGATGTTTTACTTGTCTCTGAGGTGACTTTGGAGACTGGTGAGGCCTAGAGCCTCACTCCTACGTGCCCCAGGCCTGCTGTTTCTCTTACCTGGATTAGACCCTCTGTCAGAAATCGAAGTCTTGCTGTGTTCTGTTTTCTTGTGGGTTTATTGTACTCTTTATGTTAAAATACTTCAGTGGGGGTAAGTAGAGATCACGCACAAGAATTCCAAAGCCTTTTGTCTCAGACCATTTCTCTCCTTCCTTTGGCCTTAATGATGGCTGTGTGCCAGAGCATGGTCTCTGTGGCTGCTTCCAGTCGGTGGATGGTTCTTTTGGCTCTGCTATATTGGCAGGGCATCAAGATGCAGGAGACTGGTCAGACACTGAGCTTAGGCTTCGTTTGTCTTGTTCTGTAGTGAGCACTCAAGGTAGCCACTTTTTTTTTTCTGTGTCAGTGTAAGCAGCTCAGCAAACCATGGTTCACAGACCCAGAAGTGCACAGTGCAGTATTTGCTGTACCCATAGTACAGGAATAGGAAGGCGATGCATTGGGCTGTCAGACTTGCAAGTTGTGCTTATTGGAATGGGCTGCATCTGCTGAAGTCTTGAGCAGAGTCCACAGCAACCCACACGCTGATGAGCATTCTTAGGCCCACCTGCAGATTCAGTCTTCGATTAAGACTCAGAGAAACCGTAGGTGAGCTTTCTCCTCCCTTTCATTTCCCCTCCTGGTGTTGATAGCTTGTACAAGGAAAGGGCCACAGAAAGCCAGAAATGTTTCCACCAGCAAGGTTACCTAGGTTACAGACCTTTCACAAGTTCTAGTATTCCACTGACATGTTTATTTGTTTGTTACAGGATCTAATTCAGAACCCCATACTCTGTTTTGTTGCCATATCTCCTCTAATCTGATATTTACATCATCCCTAAGTATCCTCCAGTGTTTCTAAGTCTTGACAGGAAAAAAGGTACTATCTCTGGAAAAAGTTCAGCAGATACTGCACATCCAAAGCAAATGATTGAGGCTAATGTGGCCAGAAGAGACTGCTGTCAAGTACCCCAAGAGAAAAACTAAGGACACATCAGTTCTCTGCCAGAAATGCAATATATTCCCAAGAAAATGTTAGATGCATATGGGGGGAGGAATGTTCACTAGAACTCTGACCAGTACTTCTCCAAGTGAGGGACTCAGAATCTGCATGTGGTCACAGCATGTGTGTGCACACTGACACTTGGGATGAAAAACCACAGCTTTGTTCCATGAGCTGGTTTGTAGGGAAATGAGGCTCCAGGCACAGATTACTAAACGAGTTTGTAACAGTGGTTTTACTAATACCACCAGTGCTATATAGCTTATAGCCTGTATCCTCAAGATCAGCTATGCTATAGAAACCTAAGGGACAGTTGAATTCCATGATGCAAGGCTGACTATAAAAATCCCACATTTTTTTATCTAGGAAAAAAGAAAAAAAAAACATTTCCTTTGGTAAAAAAAGACTAGACAGTTGGATACATTGAGGGCCCCAATAGGAATGTGTCAGGCTGAAGAATGTTACAGTTTCTCTTCAGAAATTCCCTCCCAGAGATCTGGTCAGCAGAGGGACTCCTAACTGTCCTGCCCTGTTGATTGGCAAGGAGGAGAGTTTTAGGAGAGCAAGTGTGGGAGCTGAACCACAGCAGCCTCCTTAGGCTGTATCAGCTTTTCATTCAGAGCTCATTTCATCCCTGGCAGAAGCTTGCACTGAGATCTGGTGTTAATCTGCCTTGAAATATTGGTGCGATGTGCTGCTCCCATATCCTTAGTTCCCAAGGGCAGATCTAGAAACTGGCACTGTTCTGCATGGATGGAGTTAGTCTTAGAGTAGGGCTGGGCTTGGAACTGACTCTGGAACCTGATGGAGAAGCTGGTGCCTCCAGAGCATGCAACCACCATCAAGGAGAATGAAACATTGCTGAAATACAATGGATTTGATACCTATCTTGAATTAACTTCTGCAATTTTCGTCAAGAACTGTCCAATTTGATTCCATATTTATTAGCTTATGGTGGAGCAGACATAGATTTACCCCAAAGGAGCCTTACTGGGTTATAGATCTCCAGCATGGGAACAGCCCTCTTCTGAGCTCAGCTTATGCATTGGTCAGAGCTAGAGATGGCTTGCTGTGGAGATCATTGCCACAGACCACCTCCTCTGAAGACATCGTGTAACAACCTTCTTGGGCTCAGGATGGATCTCAGGCTCTGTGACCTGTTTACCAGCTGAACGTTGCTACTGTTGTTCAGTGTGAAGTCATGGTCATGTGCCACGTTTCAGCGAATGACAAGGCGATCTCACCCCTGACTTGAGGTTATCTAAGTTCTGCAAACACACCCTGTGATGTCTATGAAACCAGCAAAGTCAGGCAGTAGCTCCTAGATCCTGTCCTTGAGAATTGACGTGACATTACCCTTCCAGGTTTGAAATTTCATGGGTTTTAAAGATTTGTAGGATTCAGATTCACATTTTTGCAAAGTAAGGGTTTAATATTTACATATATTTACAGTGTATTTCAGAACTCCAAAGTTTAGATTTGTCTAAAATGCAAATCTGCCATGTAAAGGAGGAAGCAGGAAGAAAGAAGATCAAGGATGGAAGACTCTGCTGATGGGCTCACAGGCTGATGTCATGACCCATTCAGCTCCACCTGCTGCTGAGCTCCCCAGGTCACGGGAATCATGCTATGACTTGACTGCTTTTCCTCATGGAGATATGTCATTTCTTCTTTCATATCAATAAGGATCCCTCCAATAGGAAGAGGAGGAGCTGGAAGAGTCCTGCCTCTTAAGAGGTTCATTCCCTTAGAGGTGTGCCAATACCCGGCCTACTAGTGCCCAGGCTCTGATTGTCTGAAGTGTCATTAAATCTGGTGTAGCTCAAACTCAGAGCCTAGGATCCTTTTGTTATGGGCATATAAGAAATTGTCTTTGAGGTCTGTCTTCACTGGTCCACCTTGCACATCAGAAGTTGGACATATGTGTTTCCCAGGAAGCTATCTGTACTCCAGTGGCAGACAGTGGTTGCCTTTGGTCTGGGGTTGTGATTTGTGAGGCCTGTGCCCTCCAGTAAGTGTTGATAGAAGTTGAACACAGGCTAGGGTGGGGGTGGATTGGCAGTGGGGACATTTGGGTGTAGGTGCCCTCTAATGTGCTATTGAGCATTACACTCAGGTCTTGGCTATGCTGCCCGTTGCAGTGGCTCTTCAGGTGCTTCTGGGTTCAGACTCTCTCCTGCTGACTTGGGCAGCAGGTATAAGGAGGAAGCTATTGTCTCACTGGCTCAGGCACCCTCATGGAATTATAGTTTATTCCTGAAAGATGAATACATCAGTGATAGCCTTTCAGAATGTGGCTTACGGTCTTCAGACCCAAAGCCACCCTTTCCTATCACTTCAGATCTAGGGGCCACCCTTTTCTACCACTTAAAGCCTGGAGGCCCCTCCCTTTCCATCACAGCCGTGGAGTTTTAAAAGCCCACGGTCTTTTGAACAGGAACAGGGTTGGGATATTTGCTTTAAATAATCCCAGGAATGGGTTGTGTATTTTCCACCTGTGTTTCAGGTGTCACTTCTCAGAGAAGACAAGTTTACTTATGCCCTGGTGTCCCTTAAGCCTTCTGTACTTAGGTAACAATTTCTAAAAACATAGGCATTCTCCTTTCCAATCTCAG